ATCTACAAAATTTTATCTCAAAAGCAATGCACCAGTTCTACTTCTGTTATCTTTTTGTACAGTGCTGGGCTCTAGAGCTGAAGGTCTTGACTGTTCCAGGCGGGCACTGTACTTGTGGACACCGCCCCCCAACCATCCATAGAGCTGCCAGTGCTTACTATCCTGCCTTTGCATCCCCACTCTAAATCAGATTAGCCTCTGACTCCAGATCCCGTTTCCCAAGAGCTTTATTTATTTATCTGCCTGCACCACCACCCCCTGCCTAGCTTGGTTTTTGTAGCCATCTTGGTAGGTATGAAGTATGTCTTATTGGGGCTCCAATTTGCTTTCCTGAACACCAGTGATACTGAGCATCTTCAGTGTTTACTGGCTGGATATTTATCTCCTTTGGGAAAATATGTAGCGATTATCTTCTAAAGATGGGGTTTCAAATATTTAATGTTGTCTTATATAACTTCTACACATGTCATATTCTGGTTACAAGTTCCTCATCAGATATATGACTCGCAAGCAAATTCATTCTCCTACACTTGCAATTTCTTTACGTGTCCTGAACTGCAGTGCTGCAAACTTTGGTGAGGCCCATGTATCTTATCTATAGTTTTGTCTTGTAGTTAACGCTTTTAGTGTCATACCAACGAAACTATTATTTGACTCACAGCCAGGAGGAATTATGCCAAACATTTTTTCTAAGAGTTTTTATAGTCTTAAGCTCTTGTCTTTGGTGGAATGAGTCTTTCTCTGTCCCGCCAATCAGCTCCCAAACAATGACATGAAGACTTATTATGACTGCTCGGCCTTAGCTTAGACTTGTTCCCAACTAGTTCTCATAACTTAACCCGTTTGCACTAATTTACACTCTGCCACGTGACTCGGTTACCTCATCTCTGTACTGCCCGTCCTGTTTCTTCCATGTATGATTGGAGACTCTGCGTACCGAGATTCAACCCTCTGACCTCTCTCTGCCAGAAGTCCTGCCTATCCTCTCCTGCCTGGTTATTGGCCATTTGGCTCTTTATTACACCAATCACTTCACACAGTGTACAAATATCCCACAACACTTTGCGATTTTAATTTTTTTGAATATTATGAGACAGGAAATCTAACTTATTTTGTCGCATGTAGATATCCAGTTCTTTCTCAACTGCATTGTCCCGACATACTGTTAAAAGTCATTTGAGGGGCTGAAAAAATAGCTAAGTAGCTAGAACTCCAGCATGGTTCCCAGCACCAAGGTCAGGTGGGTCACTATCAACTGTAACTCCAGTCCTAGGGAACCCAATCTCCTCTTCCGGCCTTCACAGGCATGAACACATGTGGCATATACATACGCAAAAAGTAACATAAATGTTTACAGTAAAAGTCAGTTGATCTTAAATGTATGAATTTATTTTTCAACTATGAAATATATTTCATTGACCCATATTTGTCTTCAAGGAAGTAGTAGCATGAGGATCTTGGATGACTGTAGACTTGTGATAAGTTTGGGAATTTAGAAGTTTGGGTCCAATCACTTTCCATAGTAGGTTTGTAAAGAAATAGCTGACAAATGAGGAAATGGATGAGTGCTTACAGTGTTTTTGAAAGAAGGTAAGAAACACTGAGCTGGTAGTTCTTAATGTATGTCTCATGGGAGAATGTCTTAGGATTGTATTTTATAAATATACCTCTGGTTTGTGCCACCTGAAAAGCATGGGAAACTCTTTCTGTAACTGGCAGCATAGTTGGTCCTCAACAAATGCTCCTCGCTGAGTACCTTATCCAGTGTGTGTATAAACAAACACACTGGGTTTCTGATTGATAATTGTTAACATTTCTATTTTTCTAGTGTATTAAACAACAAGTTCTAGTTTAGAATCTTGTTTTTTGGAATTTCTGCTACTTTTTTGCACATAATATTCTAGACACATGAATTCTGCTTTTCCAGAACTGAACCACTAGCTCTCTCATCCTCAGGGAGGCCTTTCTGATGATCTATGGATACGATCGAGACCCACAGTGAATGTACAGTTCTGCACAGTCTACCGTGCTCACGGGAGCCAAAGGAGAAAGCAGTGCCCTGTGTCAAAGCTTCCTGCCTTTGTGCCTCTTCTTAACTGATACCCTAGATACCCCTGCCTTCTGTGTACTTGGCACGCTTTGTTTTGCTTTCTTGTGCTTACCTCAACTTGTTGCCACGGATTACTCGAAGATTGAATTTTCATATTGTCTTTGTCTCCTCCAGACTCTCATTCTGTTGACTAGCCCCGCTTGTCACACACTGGTGCTCAGTAAATATTATTTGAAAATTATCCTATTGTCAATAGCATTTTCTTGTTTCACCAAGAAAATGAAAGCTCCAAGTACTGAAAGGCTGAAGGTTGAGCTGAGAGCAACATTGCTTAAAGGCAGAACAATGGATCCCCAATAAATCGGGGGCAAAAATCTAGCCTTCTTTACAACGGCAGTCATTTACTTTCTCCACAATGAATTTACCCAGTAGGTTGGAACATATGAGCATTTGACAGTACCTAGGATTTAGCAAGTCCTTGAAAGCCCTGGCTAAAGCCAAGAGTCCTAGATAGCAATTCTGACTTCTTCATGCAGAAGGAGAGGTAAAAGCCACGATCAACCTGGCAACATGTAGATTAATAGAAATTAGCTAATTTGAATTATAATAACTGTTAGAAACAAGCCTAAGCTAAGCTGAGCTTTCATCATTAATGATCTCTTCACTCACAGTGTTTAGAATCTAGATAGGTGTTAGCAAGCTGGGAGGCCACTGGGGATGAACCCTCCCTCGGGGACTTTAGAAATCACTTCCCCCATACCTAGAAAAGGAAGTGCTTTTTTATGATTTAAATGACCATGTAAAAGATGGAAGTTTTGTTGAGGAACTTAAAACAAAGCTACTTTCTCCTGCTCAAAAGATTCTGTGTCCAGCCCAGGGTGGAGGCACACAGTCTAAGCTATAACATAATGGAAAGGGGGAAGGAATATTGATTCTCTTAATATACTTTTCCTTCCCAGAAGACCTCACCCACATTGCACCGCTGTCAGTCTCTGCTAAGAGCACTGTGGCCCTGGCCTTTCTGCTTTTCTGAGCTCTCTTCAGGAAAGAGGAACTTTGCCTTCTACTCTGTTGGCTTGGAGACACCAGGCACGTTTCTGTGCACACTCTTGGGCTGTCTCGCCTTTCTCTAAAGCTGCTGTTATCAGAAGATGGCTCACAGCCTGTGTTCCAGCTCAGGTTTGGCTGTCTTTCTTCAATAAGGCAAGCAGAGGTGCCAAAATAATGGAAAGCAGAAAAGGGAGATTTATTCAAGGAGGTCAAACTGGAAAGTGGGACAAATCTACAAATTCTGCCCTGGAATTGAGTCTCCTGACATAAGGGTAAGATTTAAAGACAAAACAAGAGCTAAGCTTAACTAAACACTAGCAAGTCCACCTCCGTCTCAGCTCAAATCGTGCAATGACGTCTCCAGAAAAGAAGTTTCTTCATCCTGAGGGCTTCAGCCATTTCTTCTCCCAGCGACAGATCCCTGGGGGAAATTCTAATATATCTGTATGTCCATTTTTTTTCAATGGGCTATGGGAACACAAATGTGTGTTTAGGACACACTCATTTCTGTCCTGATGGGCAAATTACATCATCCCTTACTGGTGCAACAGTTGGCCAAACTCCATTGCTGAACCTGCTGGCCCGCCTTTTCCAGCCCTTACTTAAAAGGGCATGGCTTTTTCTTTTTCCTCTCCTCCCTTCTCTGACCACGTGACATGATTAGCACTTTGCCTACCCTCTGAAACATAAAATTGTCCCCAAGCTTCTTTCTGAGTCTTTGAAAATTCTTCAGAGAGACTCAGAATCCCCAAAGTAACAAACGGAACTTACATTCCAGCGGAATAGTGGCATGTACCATAAGCTACAGGCTGTTTTTCCACACCAAGAAACAGCCTCCAAATCCAATATGAATGTTTGGAAACTAAATTTAACAGCGGGGTGAAGCTTAGAATACAGCAAATGCTACTGTTCTAGTTCTTTGCAAAGGAAACACGGTTGTTTTTCATTTTTCTGTTGCCCCACAACACAGGTTGTGAGCCTCCCTCTTGCCTCAAAGTAGCAGCCGCATCTACTTTGTAAACGCCTTGAGTGGTGTGTCATTTGGCATTCTGAGAAAAGCTGTTTTAAAGATTTCTGTTAGCTCATGAATTTCCCAGGTGACTTGAGTTAGGGGTTCAGGAAAGCCCATTTTTGCTTAGCCTGGAAACAAGACCACGGTGAAGACCGGACCTAAACACATGAACCCGAGGAACGGCTCAAGAAGTTGATGAATGCCAAAGGCCCTGCAAGTTTCAAAGCAGAGCTCCGTCCCTAGTCCGGAAGCTTTTTAGAAACGCGCTTGCCACCCGCTATGCGCGTCCCGCCAAAGCGCCACACTGCAGATCTGCCTCCTGCTACCTGGAAGCCGGTACCAGCTGTCCCGTAGGCAGAGCACTCACCGCGCATGCCCGAAGCCCAGCCCGCCCCCGCCCGCCCGGGCCACGCCCACGAGGCCGCCACCTAGGGGCGGGGCGGCCCCGCTTGAATGGGGCGCGCATTCCAGCGGGACCACGTGAC